TACTTGTTTTTATGTTTATAGTACCAAGACCCTTCATCATCAAAAAAATCATTAATGTCAACGCCTCTAATATAGATCAAGGATAGATCAAATAGAACTTGAATTAAGTCAAGTCTAACCTAATTTTATTAACTATATATTTGCATACCTATCTAAATCAATGCAGACGTGCAACCTCACAATACTTATATTATATAAATTGTTACATATATATGAATACTTGTTTTTATTACTTGTTTTTATGTTTATAGTAACCTCACAATACTTATATTATATAAATTGTTACATATATATGAATACTTGTTTTTATGTTTATAGTACCAAGACCCTTCGTATCACATCAAAAAAATCATTACATATCTAACAACTAAACTCTTTTTGGGTAAAATTTATCTTTTTTTTTGTATTTTCATCAGCAAATTGAGTTAAATTCAGATTTAGTAGGTCTGCAGGTTTTTATAATGAGTAATATTTTCTTTTTTTTGTAAATTGTTATTTTTGCGGTCATTTAGAATTAGTTTTTATTTAAATTAAGAAAGTGCTACACAATTGAAAAATTGAAGGTTTTCTTAGATCCGTGTATAAATTGCCAAGGCTTCAAATTTATGTGTGCAAGGAACCCTATTCTAAGAATGATCTAATATTTGTGCGGAGGTACTCATCTCAAATATAAATGATGAAGTATCTTAAGTCTATTATTTATTAATCTCTTATAAGGAAATTAGACTTTGCTTATTTATGCCAAAAGTCATTTCTTCATAATGAGTATGTTAATAGTATCTAATTTTATTAATAAGTTAAATATATTACACATGTTCATCTGTAAAAAATAATTTTATGTTCTCATAGTGTGCAAGTGTTATGCCTTATATATAGTTCATAAAAATTAGTGACGTCAGATGCATAACAAGTATATGTAACATAAAGTATGATATTGTTGCTAAAAAGAAAATATATGAAAGTTCAGCCATATGGGAAAGTTTAATAAATTATGATGACTTACATAGGGAATGACAAAATTACCAATAAAATGAGCAATTTTTAGGGACAAACAAGATTCTCGAAACTCAATAATTATACACCGGTGTAATTAAGTGTTATCTTGCTATATTAAGATGATTCTATTATCAACTACAATAACAGGATAATGAGTTAGATGACAATCATTTATATGCGCCAAAAGATGAATAACTATTACATGGTATTTCTAAGACTATGACAAGTAAGAATGCAAAGTAATTATGTAAGCAATACGTTATACTGAATGATTGCAAGCATGATAATTATAAATTCACTCTTTGCAAACAATCATGCTCATTGTTTATTAATATGTTGGAAGTATTTTTTTCAATCATCATACCATGTCATAGGTTGATGTTTATTGCATCAGCCTATATAGATGAGCATGATTGTATTCAACATATACTTCCAACATATTAATAACATGAGATATATTTATTCTTTTTTTTTAATATTTTGAACTTTGTATTCAACATTCTTATCTCACCAAGATTTAAAGTTTGTCAAACGCAACTCTAGTCTTAATCTCTTGCTTTAGACAAAGAAAAGAGTAGGTCGGACTGAAATAAGATTTTCAGAATTGTCCTTCATTTCAATATTTTGATTTACAAATTTAAATGCATCAAACAAAATAAATGATTAATTTTTTTATAATGTATATTAAAGATATATGACATGACTTGCATTAATTTAGATAGGCCTGATGGAGAAAAGTTCTGCTTGACATCGAATGTTTGGCATGAAATGCATTGAGCCTATGAAAATTAATCAGATTTTACTTCTTCTCTTATTCGACAAAAAAAAACATTTTCAACTTCTTATTCAACCAAAAAATATTTTGTATTTTGTGCAAAATTTTGAAGTCCTGTTCAACAAAAGAGTTTTTAATAGTAGAAGTTGCAAATCTGAGATGACAGACAGATCAAACATTCTACTGCATGTAGAATAAATACTACTATTTTACATTCTTTCATGCATCACAAACATTAAAGAGAATTCTTTTCTTTTTATTAGTATTTATACCCGTTATTCATTGGTTATTCCAAACAACAATGTAGCTTAATTATCAGTAATGGACTCTTTAATTCATTTGTTCAAGTAAGATTTACGTACATGTCACTAACCTCCTTTGTATTTACATATCTTGCACCTAAACATTAATTTTTTATATATATGCTACCTTATCTATGCATGAAAGAAGATCCATTTCACATTATAAAAATAGAAATAATCATATTTTTGATGTGATATGAAAGACTTGTGTTGTACAAAGGTAAAAAAGTAAAGTGTAGGTGTTAGATACGTATATACACAGGATTTGGGTGGTATGTATGTAAATGTCCCTTTGTTCGATGCAATTGGTCTACCTTTTCCAAAACCTGAGAAGAACTGAATACTTATAAGCATACTATATTCAGTACGTAGGAGAGAGCAAAAAACACGACTTTTGTGTTCTAAGTTTATGATAGATTGACCCCGTACAAGAGATCAGTATATATGCTAAAGAAAAAGTAAGAAATCTAATGACGGGAATGGTTTTCTTGGAACTTTCAAGCATAGATGGAATTATATTGTTGAAATCACCACTTGTCATAATCGAGAAGTGTGTCACACCAATTGAATTCATCGACGGAGGTAGTCATAAGTGAATCATAAAGGAAGAATCTTGATACATCCTCCATGGAGATATCGTTAAGAAAAGGAGTTAGAGGAATGGTGTTCTGTACCTGCGGTGCTGTCTGATCTTGCTGGAGTTGGGAAGAAACCATCTTGAAAAGGAGTTAGAGGAATGGTGTTCTGTACCTGCGGTGCTCTAATCTCTGTTAGTTTAGACCTCATAGCCAGCATTTCATGTGAAGTCAGAGGAGAAGAAGGAGAAAGCGTTGAATGGTTTTGGCTCCCGATCTCAGATCTACGAAATTGGACATAACGCTCTTTTATCCGCCGAAATTCGTCGGAGTCCTGCTCTGGCCAGGATTGGACGGCGTCAAGTTCCGACGAGAAGGAGGCAACGAGCACGTCGTCGCCGCAAAGGACGGAGAGTTTGAAGGCTTTCCTCTTCAATCCTGTCATTCTCGTCAGCTCGTGACGAGCACGTCGTCGCCGCAAAGGACGGAGAGTTTGAAGGCTTTCCTCTTCAATCCTGTCATTCTCGTCATATAAGTTGCGTGGCGGGCTCGTGAGTTCTCTCGGTACTTCATGTCCAGTTTTGCTCGCCCCATTCGTCCGATCTCTTTGTCTTCCTTCTCTGCTAGGCTTTCTTCAAACACAGGCAAATTTCAAAATGAGAAAGAAGAATTCTTAACATCCTCCATCTGTTTTTTGGGGGGGAAAAACTTTTTTTTAAAATTTTTTTCTGACCGTTGCAGAGTAGCCGTTGATAATGGCCAGCTTCAACGGTTTGAATTATGTACTTGATGAGAGTTGTTCTCCACTTACTAATTGATGTGTGCTATTTATCAGATTAATTTGAAGTGGACTTAGACCATTGGTTGAGCCAACTAAGCCATTTTTTTTTAAAGCTCAATGAAGTAAGCAGTTTAGAATATTACAAAATACTTGGGCTATAAAAGGAATGCAATGTTCAACTATTTAATATGTTTCATTTGAAATCTTTTAGAATTGTTTGGCTTAATAAACACCCAATTCAAATTTTATTTTTTTTTGTTTGAATAAAAACAAATTCAATGTAAAATAAATTCTTTAAAGTTGGCGGCCACAATACGTGGCAAGCTGGCGGTGTCGAGGGCAGCGATGGGCAGTGGTCATGCAAGTAATGGGAATGCAACTAATGGTGTTGGTTAGCGCCCAACAATGACAGCAATGGACGCCTACTGACAACGGTGGCGTCAGAGGCAGGCAGCGACTGACAGTGGACAACAAGTGACAGTCTTATTTTATTTGATTGTCATGTTACATAACAATATATGAAAGCACACGTGTGCTCCTGATTGGGCCCACCATGTCATACATCCTTCCTGGATTAAGATTGACTTTAAAATTGTTATCGCATATATGAATGTTCATTTGTGAAGCAAATAAGCATGCTATTTTGTAGGCGCAACAAAAAGTAAATGGACATTCTAAATAAAAGATCTCTAAAGATTAATTGTAATAAATTCTCCTGTATAAATGTCGATATAGGCCTTCCTGAAAAGCAGATGTTACAGGAACTTCTGAGTCCAATCAGCATTAGGGAGAAGCAGATATTGATGGTTTTTCATAGTTAAACTATTGAGAGTCTTCAATTGGTATTGTACTATATGACAAAATATGTTATATGACAAAATATGTGATAGAGGATAAGGGCTATAATTTCAGCGTGTATTTTAATTTACAGAGGTCCCTTGCACTCCTACTAAAGACGTCAATCAATGCTCATAAGGCAAGCCCCAAGTTCTCATAAATTTGCATAAGTAGTCTTTGAATAATTATGAGGTGAATAGATCATCAATCCAAATGAAGAATTTGGAAAAATTGTTTGATTATGTCGAGGGTGGCACAAATATCACGAAAGAGTATGTAGATCCTCTTCTGAGGAAATATAATGGTGTTGTTGTCGTATAGGTAAAAAATAAAACACTTCTTTTTTTTCTGTTTACTTTAATTATCATTATTTTAATCAAATATTTTTTTTCTTAAATATTTTGAAAGTTGGAACTTAATACACAACTAGATTCTATGTCGAGTGGCTAGAATAATGTATTTCAAAGGATTAAACATTATGGCAACCAATGATGGGATGCTAGAGGTCATGCAATGATAACCTCGAAGAACAAGATGATTTATTATCTAATTGAGTTAATGGCAATGCAATCTTCTCTACCTATATAAAAAAGGGGTTAATTGTGCTCGAGATGAGCAAGAAGATTGAGGCAAGAATAGAAATTTGTCTGAGAGCAAAAGTCTTTAAGGGCCTTAAAGCTGAGAAGAAGGTGGATGAAATTGTAAAGAAATATTTTTGCAAAAAGAGAAAGAAGACAACTTTATTATAATTTAACTTGTCAGTTAAATCTAGGACCTCAAATCCTATGAAAGACTTCAAAAACAAATCTTTAACATATAAATCCTATAAATTCAAACATATGTTCCAATACATGCGTTTCAAATGCATTTATAACAATAGATGATCTGGAAAGCCAAAACAAATAGAACCTATAATTGTCATTTTGACCCGTGACAAATGACCATCCAACCGCAATGGCAAAAGGGTGGTGGTGATTGACGGCGGCAGCGAGTAGCGAGTAGTAGGCAACCAACAGTGGCGTCAGTAAGCACCCAACAATGGCGATAATAAGATTCTGATGATGAGAATGACACTGGTGGCTGGTGGCTGGTGGCGACTGACGACTGGTATCAAGTGACAATATCACTTTATACAACTGTGTTTTTAAAATTCGTCCAAATCCAACAAATTCTAAATACATTAAAAAAGAATTAGTAAGTGATTTCCATGTACATTAGAATTTATATTGTATTTACTTATTTTCCGAATAAGCAATTAAATTTTATATCCCCTACAAAAAAGAATTGAATTAAATTTAAAATTTAACTCTTAACAAGTAAAAATGCCCTTGATCCATTGATCGTCAATAGGTTGTTCATTATAGAGGGTTCGTTTAGGACAATTGTAATAAAACTATTATTATTATTATAAAAATTATAAATTAACTTAAACTCCCATCCTTGGCCATCTATCCTCAAAATTTTTGAAATTTACCAAAATGCCTCTGAAACTCTAATTTTCTCAAAATTGCTCAAATTGTCAATTTTTACCAAAAAACATGTTGAACCAATTCAAACCATTCAAGTTGACTAAAACACCCCTATTTCTTCAAAATTCCCAAAATATCCCCAATTTCCTAAAAATTATCAAAATGCCCTCATATCCTAAAATTTACCAAATATCCAAAATCATTCCAAACCCCTCCCCAGAATCAATCCTAACTACCAAATGATCCCAATTACACATAAATTCCCAAATTGCCCCTAAATGCCTAAAGTCCCCAAATTATCACCAATTGCCACCAATTTGATTTCAAACTCCCCCAATTTCAAAACTAAATCAAACTTCATCATGTCTAAGCCCAATTGAAATCAAATTCCAACCCAATTTTAAGCCTAAATCTTAAGTACAAACAAAATGGCCCAAGTTTACCCTAAATCAAAATCTCATCAAATTGAAGCTTGCCCTTAATCTGATTTCTTGAAATTTGTTTTCTAAATGCTTCATGACATTTTCCTAAACCAAATCAAGCCTTCAATTTATTTGGATCCAAGCCCAAGCCAAGCCCAAATCCAACTTTTAGCCTAAACCCTTATTTTGAGCCTAAGATCTAAACTAACCCATGCTTAATCTTTTTCTGCCTTGGTTAGCCTCCTAGGATGTTAATCACATCACCTAAAACCTTTAATTGGTTCCATGGACCAAGGGTCCCTCAAAATGGAGAACTCATCCTCCTAATTTGGCTAAACCCACTTACCCATGCAATCAGCCAATAAGCCCCCGAGCTTATCTCAATTCAACTTTCCTTGACCTCCTTAAGCCAGCTAGCCACCAACCTTGGTCTGGCCAGCAACCCTAGTGGCCAAAAAACCCAAAATAGAGAGGACCACCATTGTTTAAACTCCAAAATTTGACGTCGAATTCCCCTCCACCTCAGCTTGCTTGCACCAGCCATTGAGGGCATGAGGCCTTCCCTTTGGCTTCATCTATAAATTTCCCCCTCCACGACAAAACTTGAAGCTAACCCAATTCTTTAGGGAAGCTTTGTCGAATTCTTCCCAGAGCACCTCCTAACTTCCCTATGTTCAATCCCACTATCTCCAGCCACCCATCCTCAATGTGTTCAGAACCTGCAAAGGTAAGAAGGGTGACAAAAGTATGCAAGTTGTTATGAAACTAAGAATCACTGGCAAGCAACTTGTCCAACCTTTCTCAAGTATTCCCTCTTCTCCATGTGAATTGGGGACCATGAAAACAAAGATCAAACAAACCAAAAGATTGAATGTTGTCATTGAAAGTGGTCAATGAAGATAAACTAGGAGCTCTATCACCATTCTTATCATAAAGGGATGAAATACAATTGAAATCTCCCCTAACCAGCTAGTTGGAAGACATGGAGGTGCTGATATGGTATAAATTTGTCCAGAGATCTGCTCTAACAAACCTAGTGCAACCAGCATAAATGATGGTAGCAAAACCTGTGCTTCCAGCCATATCAACAGAAATGGTGGTTGATGATAATAGATCAGTTGATTTCCTTTCTACAGAAAATCCAAATTTTATTGTTGCAATTACCTGCGTTGGTAAAACCATTGAATTTCTTCATTATTTTATGAGGATGTTTATGAACCAAAGGTTCTAAAATAGCCATACACTAAAATTTGTGCTTTCTATTCAGATGTTGGAGCCTTTTTAAGGAGTGGGGGAGGGCAATCCCCTTAATATTCCAGCATAATAAGTAAATCATGATGGGATGGATTAGATTTCCCCCTGGTGAGCCTGGTAAGAGGCTCCCTCCTGGTTGAATAAGAGCTTCCAACTTCAATGATAAGGGTATCCTCCTATGGGTTCTTCAGCTCAAATTGGTTCTTCTTCATTTTATTGGCTTTATGAATTTACCAATCAGTCTCTAGGGAATGTTGCATCTCTGCAATTGATTGAGGACGGTGCCACAAGGAGATTTGGGTTGATGATAAGGGATTGGAGGTCCACTTCTTCATCAACATGGACAAGTAGGTGTTGCAAATCAGCCACAGCTTCTTCAACATGTGAAAACATCTGGGCCTCTGATGTAGAGTTAACCATCTTAGCAAAATTGGTATCATCCTCTAAAGCATTAATCTCAGTATCAATCTTGATATCCTCAGCAACAGGGGCCAAAATTAGATTTGGGATGTCAGCCATAACTATAGGAGAGGAAGCAGAAGGTTCAGAGGGCAGAGGAGTACTCTTAGGTGGTTTTAGAGTTTGGTGGAGACTGTAGCATTTTTTGTTAGTATGGTCAAACATCTTGCAATGTGTACAGTAATAGGGCTTCTGCTCCATGACAATAGGTTGTCAATAACCATTGTGGGTTTTGTCCAACCAAACCTCATCAATAGGTGGGAAAGTAATATCCCTTTCCACAATAATTCGAGCGACCGATGGCTTAAATAGATTGAAAGTGAATATGTCTAGCTTCATTGGCCCACCCAGTAGGGAACCAATAGAAAAAAAGTACTTTGTGGTTGAAAAATTGAAGCTTTAAACCTGGGAGTTTGAGCCAAATGAAGATAACAGGGAATTCTTTTC